GAGAGAGAGAGAGAGAGAGAGAGAGAGAGAGAGAGAGAGAGAGAGATGAGGTCTCACTATGTAGCCCAGCTAGCCTCAGACTCCATATCCTTCTGCCTTAATCACCTGTGTGCTGTCACCCTGCCTGAATTTTCATCTGAGCATATAAAATGTTTCAAGCTCTGTGAGGAGCCATGTCTTCATTTTTATCTAACTATATTGGTCGAGTGGTGGCCATATGCAGTGGTTATTGCTCTAAGCCTTGAGAATCCACTAACAAGATATGCAAGGTCCTTGTGCTCATGGAAGTCACATTCTTGTGACTATGTGTGCAGGGGTAGTCAATAAGTATACGAAATGAGTTTTGAGAATTTAGCTAGACTTATATTCTTTGAAGATAATAAAACAGAGTAATATAGTAAAAGTAGCAGAGGAAGTGAAACAGTTCTCTGTTGTACTGCCAACTTTTCTGGGGGAAAAATGGCCTGGATTGCTGAGATTTCAAGTTTATAAGAAAACAGTCTTGCAAAAATCTGGAGGTCACACCTTCAGGCAAGCAGTCTCAGTGCGTCCTCAGAGAAGAAAGGAAACAAGCTAATTAGCAAAACCTCTGTTTTCCTTCAAGTGTCCAGGAAAGGTGACAGGTGTTTCTCTAATCACAAATGTGGTCTGCATGCCCCCGCGACATGTTTTTTTGCTTTTTTAAAAAACATTAATACCTGCTGCTTCTAAATCTTCGCTTGCTTCTCAAGGAATCCTCACCACATAAATTTTCCCTTCCTGGCGTATTTGCAGCATCCCTGGGGGTGCCGTTCAGTGCTCCAGGGAACCTGTTCTGGTTATTGCTGCCTGCCACTGTTGCTAGATGGGCTGCTGTCACTGTGCTTGCTGCTGGCCGAGTCACGCTCGCCTTGACAGCTCTACAGCGGCCTTCGCCCTGACAGGAATTAGATGTGCCGCGTCTCTTGACTTCAACCCCATATGGCTGCAAGCTGGAGCTCTGCCAGCGGTGCTAGCAGACCCGCCCCCCCCCCCGCCCCCGTGAGGGAGATCTGTGGAGCAGTGGGCACAGCTGATAATTATAATGAAGTGGCTTCCTTCTCTTCAGCTGGAGTCCTCAAGCATTGCAGAGTGGTGAGTCAACCCTTTCAGTTTTGTTTTCCAGGGAGCTACGTGCCACGTGGGGGGCTCATGTGGAAAGGGTCTTGAGCAGGCGTAGAGTGGGCCTTCCTGGATGCCCACTCTCTGAGTCTCTTTGTGTCTAAGGCACTGCTGCCCTATGACTCACGGGAGGTCTGAGCCCGTGGCTGAACATCCCAAAGGCCCTTCCCTTCTCAGGCCTTATGAGCACTTCTGAGTAGATGAGCCATTGAGGATGCCTGCTTCATAGGTGTCTGGGATACAGGGACGATGCTCAGGAGTTTTGAGGTTTGCCCTAAGGGTTGCTCCTGGGCTATATTGTCCCAATTTTCTAGAATTTATATGAGCTAGTTAGTATCTTTACTACAATATCATTTTTCTTTTGTAAATTGGACGGTGCTTGCCTTCTAGTGATGTGAAGAAACAAGCCAAGAGAAAGACCAAGAGGAGAGACTTATGGCCCCCTGAGGGCACATAAATGAGGAAACACAGATTCTGATAGTCTCCGAGAGTCAGTCTGAAGTGAAGCCAGTACCAGGATGACAGAGGGAAGCAGGACAAAGCCTTCGGGCGACATCATTGAGCCTCAATTCTACTCTGCTGCTGAAATTGAAATAACTGAGAAAATGCATTCCCTCGTGATAAGCAAGTTTAATGCTGGATTTTCTGTTGATATTAGCTTTACAACAATAAGTACAAGACATAACACCTAGCCTTTCCCAGAGCTTAAAACGTTACAGGGATTTCTTTACAGTCATTCAACAAATATTTATTGAACACTAATGTATTAATGAATGACTCTGTCATTACAATAAACCTAATAGAAGTATTATCTATGCATCTGCATGTGCATACTCTTTATAGACATAAGCAGATAGAGATAACTATAGATTGTATAGAGGCATGTATGTGGAGGTACATATAGATATTGGTATAACTCTGGCTATAGAAATGGTTATAGGCATAGATCTAGACATAAAGATACGCAACTAGGGCCAGGAAGATGGCTCAGTGGCTTAAAGCACTTGCTGACAAGCCTGCAGGCCTGGATTCCATCCCCAGGATGGACACAGTGGAAGGAAAGAGCTTCCAGACCCATGCTGTGGCACTCAAATAACACACACACACACACACACACACACACACACACACACACACTGTAAATACAAATACATATTTTAAAAAGCGACTTAAAAAAGGAAATGTTTATTCTAGCTCACAGTTGCAGAGCACAGTCCCTCACGCTGGGAATGTCAACGCAGCAGGAGCCTGAAGCAACCGGTTACATTCCTCAAGCAGAAAGGGACAAATGCCTCTTCTCAGCTTCCTTTTTCCCAGCCTGAGAAAAGGTGCCACCTACAGTGAGCAAGTCTTCCTCAGTCAGTCAATCTAGACACCCTCCAGGCACCCAGGCAGGGGGATCAGGATCCATCCCTGGTACATGGGCAGGCTTTTGGAAGCCTGGTGCCTGTGGTGTGACACCTTGCACAGCCTTGGTGCAGTGGGAAGGGGCTTGGACCTGCCTAGGCTCAGTGTGCTGGACTCTGCTGACTCCCCATGGGAGACCTTGATTTGGGGGATGTGGGGTTGTGGGGTGCCTTGGGAGGGAGGGCTGGGGGGTGGGAGGAGGGAGGAGGGGGTATCAGTGGGTGATATGTAGAGTGAGTAGAAAATTTCTTAATAAAGAAAAATGAAAAGAAAAAAAAGACACCCCCCATAGGCATGCCCAAAGGTGATTCTATAGTCTATATTCTGTCATGTTGACAGTTAACACTAACCATCACATGTATGTCTTTTGGGTATGGTATGTAAGCCATTCAAGCCAGTAACACTCCTTGAAATCCCTTTTTAAAATTTGTTTTTAAGAATATTTATTTATGTATTCATTCCTTTATTTGGTGTGTGTGTGTGTGTGTGTGTGTGTGTGTGTGTGTGTGTGTGTGTGTGTGTTCATTCCTTTATTTGGTGTGTGTGTGTGTGTGTGTATGTGTGTGTTTATACAATGAGTGCAGCTGTTCCCTGATGAACATGTAGAGGTCAAAGCACAACTGTGGGAGTTGATTTTTTCTCTTTCCACCATGTGGCTCTAGGAAATGAAATCCAGATTGCCAGGCTTGGCAGCAAGTATCTTTACCTCCTGAGCCATCTCCCTGGCCTATGGTATCCCTGAAATCCTTGTATTGAGGGGTGCTAATTCAGAGGACTGCCCTAATCACCAAGCCCACTCGATTCTGTTAGAAGAGGCCTGAAGAGAGAGGAGGGAGGGGTCCCTTAGGCTATTTCTTTCCCACCGCAGCCAATAGTTTAAGCAGCATCGTTTCACCTTTATGCTGAGGATGGCCACCTACTCAGCCTGAGCTATGCCTAACCTGTGCTTCTTTTAGATCTTTTCATATGCTAATCTGAACCACAGTGTTGGGCAAATATTACATTATCGCTGAAATATAAATAAAATCTATGGTCTCAATTACCTGAAAATGCAGACATAGTAGAGGTTTTAGGAAAGGGTGAGTTTAAGCCTTAATGGTTCTGTTCCATTTGTGACATTTGTCTGCTTGGCTGTGTAGGTGTAGAATGGCTGCTGGGACTCTTCCAGTGTTTCATTTCCCTGTATATTCTGGTATCAGAATGGAATTCTATCAGAGTGTTCCAGCTAAGAATCCTATTGTTTATCCTGGTTGAACTGTTTGTCATATACCCAATAATACATTAGTGACTGTGTCAGAACAGAATACTTTTGTCTTCTTATGTCACTCAGGATCCATTCCCATGTTTAGAGACTTTGAGTCAACTTTATCCCATATTGCATGGAGTCTTAGGGTTTGTATTGCTGTGAAGAGACATTATGACCACAGCAACTCTTATAAAGGAAAACATTTGGTTGGGGTGGCTTGTCTATATTTGAGAGGTTTGGTCCATTATCATCATGGTGAGAAGCAAGGCGGCATACAGGCAGACGTGGTGCTGGAGCTGAGAGTCCTTACATCTTGATTCAATGGCAACAGGAAATGAAACGAAATACTGGGCATGGCTTGAGCATACATGTGTTGATATTTGGTTTGTGCTCTAACAAACAAAGCTTGCCTGAAGATTAGAGGGTGGAGCTAGCCATTAGTTCACCATAGAGGTCTGGAGGTCTGTACAGACAGGAGACAGGGGTGGAGAGAGGAATATAAGGTGGATGGAGACAGGAGACTGGGTCCTTTTTGGTCTGAGGAGTTGTGGAGGTAAGTGGTGACTTTGGCTGCTTCTTTACTTGTCTGATCTTTCAGCATTTACCCCAATATCTGATTCTGGGTTTTTATTATTAAAACCAATTAGAGTTCTTGCTACACATATATGAGACCTCCACAGTGACACACTTCCTCCAACAAGATCATACCAACTCCAACAAGGCCACACCTCCAAATAGTACCACTCACTTAGGAGGCCATTTTCTTTCAAACCACCACATTCATGGCTATGTAGATGGATACCTGAACTGAAATATGAAAGCTGTTAGGAGCGGGCACAGACCACAGATGATGAAGCACAATCAGTAATATCTTCTCCAAGGAGGGAAAGTGACCTCATGAGGGCAATTAATCATGGGGAAACTAGTTGGATCCTAGGTTAAGGGCTGAAGATTGGACAATACTTCAGGGAACAGGTAAAGATATGCAGTGTCTAGAGCTTGGGATAACCTTGAAGATTTGTCCTCAACAATACCTTTCCTGCATTTTCATTGAGACTGTGCTCATTTGTACATAGGAAGTCAGGGGAGGTGGTGTCTAGAGCACGCAGAGGACAGGTGTGTCCCTCCCACACCTACTGGTAGAAGTGCTGACAGCATCATGCTCTTAGTGATGAAGAACTCCTGCCTGCAGACAGCTGCCCAGCTAGAGAAATGGTAAAGCTGGCCTCACCCACTGCCTTCTCTTTCTCAGAGAACATTGTGCTCTATGGAGAAGGAAAAGGCAGGCCCAAGCTTATGTCCAAAGGCTGGCTGAAGGTTCAACTTGCATGACCATTCATGTTTTAAAGCCATCAATTCTTCAGCGTTACTTTCCTCTCCCTGTAGGTGTACATCCCTTCCTTCCTTCCTTCCTTCCTTCCTTCCTTCCTTCCTTCCTTCCTTCCTTCCTTCCTTCCTTCCTTCC